CCCACAAAAGGGCCACATCACCCTGGGCACAGAGAGAACTGCTCCTGTCTGTGCTCCTGCACTCTGAAGATGCCGGTCACATGTGCCGGCGCCAAGTTAGGAAACAAAACTCCCAGAACACGGCCACACAGCCCGGAAGACCCACACCAGCCATCGTAATGCTGGCCGTGAAAGCCTTCGACAATACAACATGTCTTTTGTTTGTCTTTGTTTTAAAGCATGGAATGCTGATTAGAGGGGCACAAAAGAATTATGATGATGATGGTGGTGGTTGGTCGCACAGTCAGCCAGATGTTTAGACTGGATTTAGGATTTTTATCCACCTATCAAGTCCTTCCCAAGGACCTGGGATAGGCAGATGTTATTTGATTGTATTAAAGGTATCGTCGCAGGATATAGGCTGTTCCAAGTAAAGCTGCCTTTTGCAATTGACTGACAGTGATTTTTGTCAATGCTAATGGTGTTCAGCTGGTGCTCCAAATGTTTTAGGATTGCACCTAAAGTGCCTATTACTATTGGTACTATCTTTGCTTTCTTTTGCCATAGCCATTCTACTTCTATTTGCAGGTCTTTCTATTTTGTGATTTTCTCCAGTTCTTTCCCTTCTGTTCTGCTATCTCCAGGTATTGCAATGTCCACTATCCAGACTTTTTTGTCTTTGTCTTTAACAATTGTTAAGTCTGGGGTATTATGTGGCAGGTGCTTGTCTGTTTGAATTTTAAAGTCCCAGAGCATTTTAGCTTCTTCATTTTATATTACTTTTCTCTTTTGTGGTCCTACAAAACAGTTCTTGACTGCAGGCAACTGGTATTTCTTGCAGATATTCCAATGCACCATTGTTGCTGTTTTGTCATGCTGTTGTTTGTAGTCAGTCTGTGCAATCTTCTTGCTTATTATTATTATTATTGTTATTATTATCATCCATCAAATCAGTATGAGTTCTTATTGACCTCCATGATGATCAGTCCCCAACCTGGCACTTCAGGTCTTCAGGTGCACCCATCACCACTGTAATCGAGTCCATTCCACCTTACCCAGCATTATGGACTTATCAAGGGAACTGGATCTTCAAATAAAGTGTCTAGAATATGGTAGTTTGAACCTGGTCATTTGTACCTCAAGTGAGAACTCTGGATTGATTTATTCTATGATCCATTTGTTTGGAAGTTTGGCTATGCATGGTATTCTCAGGAATCTTCTCCAACATCAAAGTTCAAAAGCATCGATACTCTTTCTATCCTGTTTCTTCAAAGTCCAATTTTCAGTTCCATAAAGTATTCCATCACAGGGAGAACCATTGCCTGCATGATTCTGATTTGTGTAGGTATAGATACTGTATATACTGCAGGATACACTGCATCGGAATATATGAAATGTTGCCTTTTCCAAATTCTCCAATTCTGCATACTGTAGTCTGCTTGGCTTTTTAAATTATTATTTCCTATACTTTTTAAGGATGCTTCAGATTCATTTGTATCTCTTTCTACTTGCAAAAGTTAGAGATATCTATATCCGTAAAGCTAGTTCTAAAAATCTCAATACATGCACAGGGCAGGTGAAAAGATTAACATTAAAAGATGGATGTTGCATCCAAGAGATGGTGGATGGCTGAATTTTTCTTTGGGGGGGTTGCTAACACAAACTGGGTTTTCCTGTCTCCACAGCCCCAACAGAACCTTTGCTGTGCAAATTTGCTGATGGAGGACAAAAGAAACGACAGAATCAAAGCAAGTATACCCAGAATGGGAGACCATGGCCAAGAGAAGGAGAGGTGAGTCAGAATTACTTATAATAATGTTTGAAGAAACTTGAGACCATCTTGAAGAAAATGAGTCTTCAATATTACTGAAGTCGCAATAAGAAAAATGCAGCAAAGTTCAAATGAGTTTAATTCCAATGAACGTAGAGTCAGACTAGAAGCATGTAACTATTTATCATAAGGACTGGCAATTGCAGACATGTAAATTCAGAAAGACCAATACCGTTCCATGTTGCAGTGCTGATAAAATAGAATATGAGATGTTTGCATATCATAATTGTTAGTTGCAGTTTTGCTTCCCTTCAGATTGGAACTAATTTAACTCTCATTTATTTAAATGGGAACTAATATAGTTTGGATTCATCATCCCAATACTTCCAATTAAATAAGATCCAGATGAGACGGAAGAACATTAAATAGCATAATCTGACCGGGATAGAGGAATTAAGCTGTATTGGATAGGCTTGTTCTGCTGCTGAAGGAGAACCAAGTCCATAGTTTAGGACTCCTTCAGGCTTTGTTGCTTGCTGCGAAAGCACATGTAACTTCAGTCACCAGTTTCTATATCAGCTTCGATTGTCATGTGAAAATCTATCAGAGGAAAGAGGACCATGGTCCAGTTATGCATCACTAGTTACGTCCGTGTGGGACCACTGTAATCTAAAGTGAATTTTAGGTTGTTCAAAGTGGGGCAACTCACATGCTATTAGGAGGCTAAGCTGTAGGATAATGTTACATGTATTGTATACCAGTTGTACTGGTTGCCAGTACATTTCATATCCCAGTACAAAGAGCTATTTCTGACCTGTAAAGCTCTAAACATTAAAGGCAAGGTCTTTTTAAAGAGCTTCAAAATGGAGTTCTTATTTCTGACTTATAATTGAAAAAAAATGAGATTTATTTTAAAATTTTTGAATCTAAAATGTATCCAAAGTGTGATACAAAGTGTATTTGTAAGCCAGCTGGAGAAGTCCATGTTCCTGAAACTGGTTAAGAAATTTAGAGAAAACCTATCTCCTTAATTTTTTTCCATTCTATTTTGTACTCAGTGTTGACATGAGTTACTTTACTTTTTTTTTTTATGCAATGAATCGCTGATAAAGTAGAAACATGTGGCATCAAATGAGTCTTGTTATATTATTCTATGTGTCAAGCTGCTCCCTCAGCTTCTTGATTGATATTTGTATGGCAATTAAGGTGACATGTTTTGCTGGTCCCAGCACTTTTGTCAAAAGCTTGAATTATGATAGAAAAGAAGAAATTAAAAGTGATGTGGAGTTATTTAATGAAGGACAAAATATAGGGTTATTGTGAAGCACAGATGATGTGGATGTTTTGGGTTTTCCATCAGCTGAGACCCCAGGGGAGTGGGGAGCTGTTTTTATCCACAAATCATTGAAGGCTCTCAGAGGCTTTCTCTGCAGATAACCAGATATGAGATGGTGTGGTTAAAGTTGGGCTGTAAGAGACAGTTGAGTTTGCTGCTGATGTATTGTGTCTCCTGGTGGCACCTGAGCCACTAGATTCAATTATCAGGCTGGCAACAGAATCTCTGAGGCTATTTGGTACTTAGAGATTTCATTGAGTCCAGGGCAGCTCAGGAATTGGACCTGTCCTAAGTTTTTGATGATCTGATGCATACTGGTGGCTGCACATTGGATTTATTTTTATCTCAGGGCAGTTGCAATGTGATCTGGTAGTGGAAGACATTAACATCAGTCCATTGCCATAGACAGATCACCCTCTGGTTGCCTTCTGTCTCACTTGAGCTACTCTCCCCCATGGGGAGCCAGAGCCTATTTGATCGATCCATCCCAGGTACCTGATGGACCCTATTGGGCTCCACAGGGAACTTGGGGTTTTCTTTGAGGATCTGGTGGATGGTTCATCTGAGGCCTTGGTCATTGCCTGGAATGGGTGGGTGGATGAGGCTTTGGACTCTATGCACTCTCTCTCTCATCAGGCACTTGTTTACTGAGGAGCTCTGGGAGATGAAACGCTAGAAGGGACTTTTGTAGTGCTGTTGGAGGAAAACTTGGAGTGAATCCAGTCAAACAGAGAAAAGAAGAATTGCTTTGTGGTGATAAAGCCAGAAAAACATCAATATTTCTCTGCCTTTATCGTGCATGACAATAGCTGTCCAGGAGCTCTATTCAGGATAACCTGCTCCCTACTAGTTATGGACAGGACACAGGACTGTCTGCAGAGCCTCTGTGAGGAATATTTTGACTGTTTGGCAGATAGATGCTCAGATCTGTGTCAAGCTGGACTCCTACTAGATAGGTTCAGCCTAGGTGCAGGAAACATGGTCTGGTGGTTTAATTTGGGATGAGTTTGAATCAGTGACTCTCAAGGAAGTGGACCAGGTTTTCTGAGCTGATGGTTTGGAGACCTATTTGTTGGGCTCAGGACCTTGTTACACACACTGCTTCCAGGTTCGGCTTATGGTTACTCACTCACACACTCACAGCCTGTTGAGCCACATGGATCTTGTCAGCCCCCCTTGCTTTCTACCTGGGTTTTCCAAATAGGTGTGGCTAGAGCCGACAAGGCACACAGCCCCGGGCAACAGCCGGGAAATAAATAGGGATACACACAAATCA